TCCACCCACCCACCTCCGCTTTCTGCTGGGTGAACACCAGTGCTGAGCGGGGGTACCATCATCATGGCAATTGTGATGGAGATAAACAGGGGGAAAGAAAAAAATAAAATAGTCTTCCCATTCCATTTAAAGATCCAGGAAAACCAGTTTTCTGTTAATAGTTCTCAGTGTACCCTGGCAGGATGTCTGGTGTCCTCCTTGTCCAGCAGTGTGGTAAGTGTGGGCTTGGGAGGGCTTGCAGCAAGTTTCTTCTGTTCTTCAGCTCAAAATATCTTGCTTTAGAGGAAGGAAATGCTATCTATGAAACTTATTTTCTTTATATGGATGAAGATGGGTGTCAAAATGTAAAGAAAATCAAGCAAAAAATAATATTTCAGGCGGCTGTTTTGAGGAAGATTCCTACTTTTATTTATTTTATCCATTTGTCACTGTTGCTTTCCAATTCCTTCCATGTGTTTAGTCCGTGCACTTCTCAATTTTCCTTGCTTTTTCAGCTGGGTTCTGTGTTTTCCTTCCCATCCTCTAAATCTCTCTGGTTTGCTGTATCCCACAGATGATGCAGCTCAGAGTCAATAATCCTCTCCTGGAGAAATTGCTTCTGACAGGCTGGAGACCCGACTGAACCAAAGACACCTACAGAGTGCTGTGGCTTCCTCTGGGCTCCCAGCACCTCCCTGAACAGGAGATGGGGTGTGACTCACAAGGCAGCTCTCAGATCAGCTGCCACCAATTAAAAATATTTTTTTTTTGTATTAATATAGAAGCAGAATTTCCTTTGCCTTTGTGTCAGGTTGGTTGTCAAATGTGCTGTTTGGTGCTGATGGGAAACAGTCTCAGTCCTGTAGCCCTCCTGAATTGAAAAACAAGAGATCCTTACATGAAGGAAATGTAAGAATCATTGAAAAATACCAGTATGGATACAACATGTTGTAATTGTTGTGTAACATGGGATTCAAAATAGCTTCATATATATCTGCTACTAGTGGCACCCATCTACCTAAAGAACTTTATATAAAAACAATATTATTACAAACAGACTGCAAAAGGACACCTCTTTAAACCAAAATATGTCGATCTGTCATTGTGATAAACATTCCTGTTTGATTGTGTGGACAGTAGATGTGCACCAACCCAAGCTTTTTCACAATAACAATATTAAAGATGGAAATGAATGTTTAAAAAAGATGAATTTTAGTTATTACTCAGGTTTTTGATTGAAGACTTTTGTGGCAGCCACAGAAGACCTTACAAAAGAATGCTGCAAGCACAACTGTTGACTTTTTAAGCAAGGGCAAAAGTTTAAAATACATGGCAGAGAGTGAATAAAAACAAACCAAGTGGTTTGCAAGCAAGCAAATCCTGCTGTCAAGTGGTCATTGCACGCAGGAGAGAGCCCATGGCAACTGCAGCACATTGCTGGCAGAGTGCTCTTGTTGGGTCTGGAAATTCTTGTCCAAAGCTCAGAAAAATCAAGCAGCCTCTATTGAATCCCTTGACTTTGAGATTAGGCAGGATGTAAAACAAGGAGGGCATGGAGAGCAATAACTTGTTTTGAAAAAGTTATGCAAATTATGTTAAAATACACGATTTAAAATATTAGTTCTGGCAGGGAGATTGCTGGAGTTTCGGTCAAGGGGAGCAAACACTCAATAAATTAAAAAGTCAGGAGCTGGCTCTATAACGATTGCTTTGTAAGCAAATGCTGGCTTTTGTGGTTGCTGTGAAATGTGCTGGGGAAGGGTTCCAGCTCAGTGGCTTTCTCAGGGTAGACACTGCCATCAACAAATCCATCTGAAGGAATGGCCCAAGTTTGCTCTTTTGTAGGCACTCAGGAGCCTCACAAAGGTTTATCAACTCTTTGTCTCATTTTCTTTAGAGATGGGGGTTTTCCTAGAAGAGAGCTGTGGTTTATTTGTAAATGTAGGAGAAAAACTGAGCAGAGCCCCCTCTGTGCCAGTCCAGCATCATTGTAAGCAAGGGTTAACTTGTATTTTAAAATTAAAAGTCATGCCTAGTCCAAGAAGTTAATTGTCTTTTTATTTTGCTTTTTAATTAATTTTTTATGCTGGAAATACACATCTCTTTGATGCTTCAAAGGCAAAGTCTAGAGTATATAGAAATATTTCTTTTGTTATTTAATCTGGTAAATCTGTGGTGCTATTATTCACTATGGCTTTGTCTCCACAGGAAAAAGGAGACTATAGACTACAAGGAGGAGCTGGCAAAGAGAAATCAGTTTTTGGCAGTGCAAATAATCCTTAATAGCAAGGGGAAATTTAGAAAATTTAAAAGATGGATAGACAGTGGTAATTTCTTCTGTGTGGAAGGGCAGTGTTGTTTTGGTTTTAATTCCCTCCCAGCTTCAACATTTCCAGAGTATTGAACAGTTTCTTTTGTTTTCTTAAAACTAATGTTTTTCCTGGTCTCTCAACTGAGTACACAGTGGATGAGCCAAAAGGAGAGCTCTAAACAGTGAGGGTGGGGTATATCCTAAAAATGTGTGAAATGCTTTTTGGGCATGCAAAATCACGACCTGGATGTGGATGCATGTTTTCCTCTGCCTCACAGGAGGCTGAGCCATGGAAGTCATTTGATTCAGCTGGATTAAACTTCAGCCAAACAGTGGGCAGAAATGAAGGAAAGAAAAGCAATAACTACAGATTAGAATAGGAAAAAAAAACCTCTCTGGGTTTAGGTTTGTTTATTTAATTATCACATTGGTTGATTAATCTGATAAAGTGGCATTTTGATATCTGTGCTTGTTTTTTCCCCCAAACTGAACATACCTGTTCCCTGCCTGCAGCTGCCAGGCAGTTCCAGGCCTTCTCCAGTAGCCAAAGCAATCACAGCTTTCATTCCATCAATATGAGCCAGAAACTTTGCTCTGGGGATGGCACAACACTTCTGAGGTCTGAGCCTGACCCCAGACCTTCAGGTCTGTGTCACCATCTTCATAATGACCCACCTTTGTGATGAACTTTTTACTTAGGGGGGTTTGGAGATAAACTCAGCAATGCTTGTGGAGGGATACTGATACACTGAGATCCTCTGGTCCTTAAAAAAGCTACAAGAAAACCAAATTAGACATTAAAGGTTTTACTTCTCTTTTCAAATTATTGAAATGACATTGGAGTGGGAGGCATTAGTCTCACACTGCTGAAGAACATTGATTAATCCCCGCTCTGCTTTTTCTTTTTGCTCAGAAAATACCCATTTCTCTTGCAGAAACAATTTATTTGCAGTGTGTATGTGCAGAGCAATGGGATGTGCTGTCCCCATTTTCATTTTGTATTATTGAGAACAACTTTGTTGCTTCTTCTTGTCTGGATATTTAACATTCACGTTCCCCTCTGATTGCTGCCACCTGAACATTTCTCATTTCTGTGTTTTTTTCAGCTGAACATTTCTTATTTGGCACAGGCAGATAGTGATAGGACAGGGGGGAAAGGTTTTAAACTAAAAGAGGAGAGATTTAGATTAAATGTTAGGAAGAAATTCCTTATTCAGAGGGTGGTGAGGCCCTGGCAGAGGTTGCCCAGAGAAGCTGTGGAGGAGCTGAGGAGACACTGGCATCTCCCAGTCTGATTGCACAGTCTGCTGTGAATCCCCAGCTGGATTTACCCTGTTCCTTCCCAAAAGATCAAGGCAAGTGGGATCCAAGACAAAGCCAGCTTGGCGAGAGTCTGCTCTGTTTAGCTGTGGGAAGATGTGAAGGAGAAGAGCTCGTCCATCACTGCTCTCAGGAGCCAAATATAATGATACAGGATTTCTTCAGGAGATATTGCTAAGCTAAGAACCCATCACTCACCCACAGTCTCTCCCTGCAGTTATTTTTCTTCTATTGAGTGCACAAAAAAAAAAGTAGTAAAATTTCTGTCTTTCTTGTCTAGTGCAATTGCTTTACTTCCCATCCTGTTCAGTCCTGTGCTCAATGAATCCCTCAGGCTGTCAAGGCTGTGCTGAGTCCCCTCTTGCAGGTAAAAGGGGCCCTGCTGGGTAGCACTGGAGATGAAATCTCATATATAACCAAGGTTTGGGTGATGTTTTTCCAGGATGACTTTGAGTGAAATGTCTATGTGCTTCTCATAATCTTCATAGGGTAACCAAATGCAGAAGGACTGGAGGGCAGTGGAAACCAAGAACTGTTTATGGAGTGGCTGGAAGCAAGGTAGGGGGTTTGCAGATGGGGAACCATCAGTGATAGCTGAGTGCTGGAAAGTGGCACAGGACTGGCAGATGGCAAAAGGCATTTTACAAAACACTTTGCTGTCCTAGTCACTCTCTTTGCAGTCTGCTGGACTCTGGTCAGAGAGACCTCTGGAGCATGCACTTAATATTCTGAAATAATAATACAAATTTAGTGATAGTAATAGTGTTGTCAGAATCAGCCTGTATTTTCCTTTTGAGCTGTTAGGATGGAATAGTTGACTGCCTTGTTGTTTTCATTTTCCTTATTTTTCTTTTTCTATTTTACATTGTAAAAGACCTGACTGATATCAATTCAGAGTATCCCAGGCCATGCAAACTCTGCTGATGCTGGAAGGACCAGCCTGCACCAGCCCCTGGCCCACCTGGTGCACACACAAAGCTGTTGTTGAGTGCTCATAAAAACACCTTGCTGTGCTGGGATTGTACTGGAGGTTGGTAAAATAACTCTGAGTTTCTGTGAGAGGAATGAAGAACTCTAAAGCACTTAAAATGGGTAAAGGAGGAGAGAATGAGCCCTTTCCTGATAACTAACAGCCAGCATGGGGTCAGGAATTATTACTCATGGTTCTCCCAGCACAGCCCTCCATAATGCCTTTTCTTTTTTTTCCCCTTTAAGTTTGAAAAGAGCTGTGTGTAGATGAGATTATCATTTTAATGCTGAAGTTGCAGCACACGCTGTGTGATCCCGTGGTGGTGTCTGGGGGCGAGGGATTGAACTGCTTCTCTTCATGCCACAGAGCTGCCTTTGCTGCTGAGTGCGTGGGGAAACAGCATGTCAGCTTTGGTAAATTGGGGTATTGGGTCCCTTATTATCCCAGACTACCAGGGATGTTTCCCTGTCTCCATCTTTTGTGCTGTTGGCCTC